TTCACTCTCTGACAGCAGATGGCGCTGAACAGCAGAAATACAGCCGTTACCCCGCAAACCCCGTAAACAAAGCAGCTGCGCTACTTTCTGTTTCTGAAACGTGTTTAAATGAAATAACCATTCAGATTTTTGTACTCGCTATGGTGTTCATCACAGTGCCAAATAATTAAATATTTAGACTTAATAGGCTATTTATTTTCATTTACATTTACATTACATTTAGTCATTTAGCAGACGCTTTTATCCAAAGCGACTCTTCGTTTTTTATTTTTTATTTTTTTTAAATAAAAAAATTTTTTTTTTTAAATGTTCAAACCTTTTTACGTTTTACTCTGGACTACAACATGCCCTATTGTTTGAAAGTGTTTTGATTCTTTATTGTTCAGTCACACTTTACATTAGGGCTTCATTAGTTGACATTAGTTAATTCATTAGTTAACATAAACTGCCAATTAATAATTCTTCTAAACATTCGTTAATTTTAGGTAATTTCAATATTTAATAACACGTTTGTTATTGTTATTGTTATTTGTAATTGTTAAAATCAAAAGTTGCAACTGTGTTATTTAATGAGCTAACATGAACTAAGAGTTGTATTTTTTTAACAAAGATTAAAATCTTGTAAAATCCTTGTAGCAAATGTACAGTAGCTATTGCTCATTGTGAATGTTAATGCATTAACTAAGGTTAACTAATGAGGTCTTATTGTAAAGTGATACCTATTGGTCTTTATAGTTCTTTTGCACTTTAATCTGTGTAAAAGACAACACTTTTTTGCAACTAAATTTTAGCAAATTAGCAATTAATCGCAACATGAAAATTTGATACCAGCATATCCATAGAATGGACCAAGATTTCTGTAGAGAGGTAACAGAAACTTCTAAGCACTTGCAGGCAGCGTTTATTTCATTGAATTTTATAAAGAATAAAAGATTCTGCACAAATTAACATTTGTGTGTATACAGTGTTTCATAGTCATTTTGTTTTCTCTGTATCACTCTGTCTTTTTGTGTTGGTTTATATTGAGTGTTTCATATCTATTTAAGCATTATTTACAAGCTCTCTCATGTCCCTCTGTTACCAGGTGTTGCCTGCAGATGCTGGATCTCAGTGGACTTCAGTGTGAGGATGGGAGAGTTGAGGACTCGATGGGTGGATGGTCCCTCAGCGTTGCCCTTTGCTCAATGGTGCTACAAGCTCGATCTGCTGCCTCCAGGGCTCACAGGAGAGATGGAGAAAGAGAGAGAAAAAGAGGACTGAAAGCAGAACGTGACCGGTGCACCATCAAGCGAGACCGGGGCAAGGTAGGGTGCGGGAATAGTGGTGAAGGGAGTCAGGGAGGACACAGAGTGGAAGAAGTAGAGAAGATGGAGTGCAGAACTAATGAACGGATGTTTCCAGGAGATGAGTCAGTAAAGGGTGTCAGGAGGAGGATGGAGATCCAGAGAAGAAAGACTTTATCTGAGGGGAAATCAAACACCAGCAGTAATAACAGTCGTTTATGCGACCAAGACTGGGATGAGGTAGTTATGGTCCATGTCAGGGCTGACCTTTTTGTCAATTCCCGTTCCTGGGAGCGTGTCCGTGATGCCCTTAGTCAACCGGGCCCACTGCGGCTCCACTGCCGCTACCTCCGCGTGGAGGAACTCTCAGCGCCCTCCATAGCTTCCTTGTTGGGTCTCTTGCCTCCGCAGGATCTCCTCTGTGTGGACATCCGCTACTCCAGCCTTGGGGTGTCAGGCCTGGCTATGCTGCTTCCACTTTTAGCTCCCTTTCCTCAGCTGCACTCTCTGAGACTGCATTACTGTAACTTGGATTTACAGCGCACACAGCCTGGCCAGCAGGGGGCACTTCAGGACATGTCTAAAGGACTGGGTTCACTGAAGAGACTAAAGAGATTATGCCTGACTGCACTCCGACTGCCAGGACACCTGCGCTTGCTGCTCAGGTACATTCATACACGCAGATTAAACAGCTGTGTTTATCAAGTCCACTCATACACTCCTACAACACATACACTTCATTATTTCAGTAAGAACTTTTTTGGTCCAGATCTATTAATTTATTCATAAAATGCAATTAATACATGCAATCATGAATAAACCTAATCTGTAAGGATTTTAATATTTTAAATTCCTGATTTCAAGTCACCTTTTTATTTAATGCTTTATACAACAGAAAAAGTTTCAAAACATTTTCAGAGTATTAAACAGGGAGGAAACAGAATCAGAGATGCAAACTTCATCAAAATAATGACAAATCCAAATTCTGCTGTAAAGCAGCTCTAAAAAGACTGGTGTCATTATTCAGCTCCAGACAGTTCAGTGTTTAATCACTTCAGTTTAATAACTGCGTAAAGTTTATTAGGCTTGCCGCGATAGACGGTGTTGACGGTGATACCGGTGTTAAGCCGCTAAACTTTTTTTTACATTTTTTTTTTTTTTTATATTGTTTACTGAACAAGTTGCTCTTTCTTTAAATACATTCAGTTATAGTTTAAATTTTC